GGCGGGCAGAGAGGCCGCCGAGCACGACTCGCTTGCCGAGCAGCGGCGCGTCCACCGCTGCCGCTGCCGCTGCCGCGCCCGAGGTGGCGCCGCCCGCCCCTGCCCGGCCCTCCGAGGCCGCCTCCGACAAGGCCTTGACGCACTCGGTGTAGCCCTGCTCCTTGGCCAGCTGCAGCGCTGTCTGGCCTCTCGCACTGCGCGCTGCCGTGTCTGCGCCCGCCCGCAGCAAGCGGCGCACGACGGCGTGGCGGTTGAAGAAGGCGGCGAGCATCAGCGCGGTGAGGCCGCTGCTGCTCTGCTGGTTGACCTTCGCCCCGTGCCGCAGCAGCAACTCGACCACCCGCTCGTTGCCGCTAAGGGCGGCGTCCATCAGCAGCGTTTGGCCGCTCACGCCGCCTCTCTCGTACGTCGCGTCGGCCCGCCCGCCGCCATGAAGCCACTCCAGCACCGCCTCCTCCTCGCCTCGCTCCGCCGCTAGCACGACCGCGTCGGAGCAGCTCAGGGAACCTGCGCCAAGCTCTCGTGCACCAGCCCGTTTTCCCACCATCGCTGTTGGCGATTTGTGGGTGCCTTCCTAGGCGCCGTGCCGCGTGTTTTTTCTTCTTCTTCTTAAGTTCGTTAATAAATAATAAAGAACGTACACGCCAAACGAGGGGTGGGAGAAGGACAGGGTCCCCACCTGCACGAGCAGGATCTTGTAAGGACGATCAGGGACACAGGGGCGAACGGGAGCGGGGAGCGCATGTGTGGGCTGTGTGGCGCGTGTGCGCGGGGAACGACGAATGCTACAGTGTACAGGGAGCCCCCAGAAGTCCGTGTGTGCGAGCTGGTCCTGATGCCGTGAGCCCGCCGCGTGGGCGGCCGGCGCGGCGGTGTGTGTGCGCGGACCCGTGCGAGTCCGATCGTCAAGAGTGTACGTGTGCAGTGTTTTGCACAGGCAATGCGACCACAGCAAAAAGGCCTGGTGTGCAACAACCGTCATGGGTCCGGTCCCTTCCGTGAGCATCGCGCCTCTCATGAGCTCAGTCCGCAGCGCAGTCTGTCCGGTGGGACTGTGCGCGCGACGGAGCCGCCGCTGAGTTTACAGTGTACCGGCTGCGCGACAGCACCATGCGCGGCGCCCTGCGCATGCCGCTTCCCCGTGTCGCCCCACCGAAAGAATCGCCGCCGTGTTCACTCTCTCGACGGACGATACGGCTCGATGCGGTGGAGCACGTAGGCGCAGCATGCCCACGAAGCATCGGGTATTGTCCGATTCAGCGCAAAGCCCACCCGCCTGAATTCCTCGTGCCAGAACTCGTTACCCTTGACGGTCGTGTGCAGCTGCGTCGGTAATCGGTCCGCGTAGCCCTGCTGATGCAACGCGTCCTTAAACGTGCGCCCCTGAAATTTGCCGACGCCCGCGCGCGAGCCCGAGAGCGTGCTGCCTTCGGGACGGTTGGCAATCTTGAGGACGAGAAAGTTTCGCGCCACGCGGGCAAACTCGGCCGTCGCCGCACGCACATCGGACGGATCCACGTGCTCGAGGACGTCAGAGCTCGCAATCGCATCGAATGCGCCATCGCGAAAGGGCAGGCTTGTGGCGCTGGCCGCCTGGAAGCACGGCCTGCCCTCGCCGTTGCAGCTCGCGCGGCCGTGTGGCGGCTTGTGCAGCGAGGTTGCCAAGTCGGCGGCCCCACGGGCAATGTCCACGCCAGACGCCACGATGCCCGACTGCCAAAGCTCCGCGACCACATTGCCGTGCGAGCAGCCCACGTCCAGCACCGAATCGATGGCGGCACCTTGCCGTCTCATATTCCTGATGGTGTGCAGCAACTTCGCGCCCTGGCTTACGCGCGTGTCCTTGCCCCAGCCGGTCGCATAGAGCGCCTCGTAAAGCTCCTTGCCTTGCAGCGCGGCTGGCGCGTAGGCCAGCGGCGCGCCCGCGAACAGCAGCAGAAGCGAACGACGCATAAAGCGCCGCCGCCACAACAGCGCCTTTGGGATGGGCGTCACGCACGTTGCACAAGGCCTCGCCGATCTGCGCAGCGCGGCGTGCTGCCGGTGCGCGCCGGAGCCATGCGCGACTCGTCCGGCCCTACAGTGGTCGCTCGGATCCTCCAGTACCTCGTTGCTGCTGCCATCGGCGCCGGCTTGCACAGCATGTTCTCTACAGGCATGGCTCCAAGCCGTATGACTGTACGGCCTGCACCAGCGCACCAACGCCGTATGACTGTACGGCCTGCACGCCACATGCCGTCAGCCCTTGCGCACGCTGGCGAGCATCAAGGGCCGCACCGCAAATCGCACGCGGTTGGGGGCAACGCCGGCCTCATGGCTAGGCTTGAAGCCCAGCACAATGTCCAGCTCGAGGAGCACGGTGCTGAGATCAGGAAGCTGCGGGCGGAGCTCGAAACCCTTCGCGCCCAGCCGCAGCCGCAGCAGCTGCAGCCGCAACAAACGCAGCAGCCGCAGCCGCAGATCCAGCCGCAGCCGCAGCCGCAGCTGCAGATCCAGTCGCAGCCGCAGCCGCAGCTGCAGATCCAGTCGCAGCCGCAGCCGCAGCCGCAGCCGCAGCTGCAGATCCAGCCGCAGCAGGTCCCTCAGCCGATGCCGGCTGCGAGCGGCAATGCCTTCCGGTTCTTTCAGGGAGCCTGCCGCACAGCGAGTGACGCGGCTGGAAGCTATGCGACGGAACGGGTGGAACTCACCCGATGCAGAGAGCTGTGCGCCATGGACCCAACCTGCGGGGCGTTCGAGGTGAAGGACAATAAAGCGGCCTGCGAGATTCACATCGAGCCCATCGTCAAAGCCACGGGTGTGGCGGGCACGTCCTGCTATGTCAAAGAGGGCTGGAAGCGACCGCATCGGAAGAGGGCGGATACCTTCTATCGGCACGAGAAGGTCGACGCTGGAGAGCTGCAGGAGCACTTGGCAGCGACCATGAGCGGCTTCTATGGGCGCAATAACCTGACGCAGGTGATGCAGAAGCTGGCGGTGCAAGGCGCACTGCACACCGACGGCCCGAGGCGGCGCTTCATCTTCACCATCGCAACGCTGGAGGCCCTGCCATTCACGATCAATCTCTTCCGCAGCGCCCACCGCTTCAACGTCACCGTCGGGGCCGTCACGCTGCTCACTGACGAGTGCGTCAAGCTCCGGTCGGTCGACGTGGTCTGCGAGCCGGCGAACCTGCTGCCGATCCGAAAAGACGAGCACGGCAACGACATTACGGCCGATGGCTACGCCCTCACCTTTGCCAAATTTCAGCTCTGCCGCATCGCCATCGAGCTCGGATGGGTTCCAACGTTTCTGGACAGCGACCTCGTCGTCAATGCGCCGCTACTCGGCCCTTCGGGCGCACTGGCGCACCTCTCGCAGTACGGCGCGTACATCGCGCTGGGGCTGGGCTCAACTTGCGGCAAGACGATCGATGGCTTCATGCACTGCGGCAAGGACTGCGTGGTCGCGGCGCGCCTGCGCGCCCGCCGAAGTTTGCACAATCGACCAGGGCGACGTGCACTGTGCACCTAGAAAGACCCCCCCGGTGCGCACAATCCTCAGGCATGCAGCGGTGGCGATGTTGGCTTGAGCGAGCCACCGAAGCACGTGATGCTCACCGCAAGTGGCTAAAAACATGCAT